AGGATGGCTATGCTTTCAGTGTCAGTGGAGGAGGCCCAGTCGTGGACCCTGATTTTCCTGCGGGCCTGGCGCTCAGGAATCCACACAGCTGCCCCAGCGCAGCGCAGCCCAGCCCAGCGTGGCAACAGACCCATCACAGTAGACGAGGATAAGAGGGTGGGAGGTCGTACGAGAGGAGGCGACATCTTCAATCTGCTCAAGGCAGTTAAGTTTGAGCATATACCGCAGTTGGGTGGATTTACGACCAGGGAAGGTGTGGACGACAACATCAACACTCGGGGAAGCCCACGGCGGGAGAGGCGGATGAGTGTACTCGGGAGGGAGAGATGTCGAGGGGGTGTAAAGGTGATAACGCAGGATGTCAGCAGCAGTGTGGACGGGCCAGTGTTGAGAGAGGGAGAGAGAGGTATGGGGGCAGGCCGGCGCAGGAGGGTGTTAAGATGTGAGTTCTGTGAGCGTGACAGGGGAGTTGGTTTCTCACTGCGAAGAAGTTTAACACCAAGGATGGCATTGAGAGCAGCATATACCAGAAAGTGTAAAGGTCGGGGCTTAAGGTCAGAAGTCCACCTGGTACTAGTTGCTTGTGTGATGAGAGGTAATGATGTATGTGCGTTTGGGTGAAACACACACACACACACACACACACACACACACACACACACGTGTGTCAGGTCGTTCAGCTCCCCACCCCATTTAACGTAACTTAATGACTTGGGTTCATCAGGAGCCAGCCAGCACGCTTGTCTCTAGTAATTATAGCGCATCTTACATCATCAGGCTAATGTGTCTTGACCACGATCCCTGCATTACCTCCCAACACTCACATGTTCAGTGTGTTCACTCTCGATCCCTGTACCACTGTCAAGAGGGTCTACAACTAATGTATCTTGAACATGTTCACTGCATCACCCAATTCTTGGCCAACTGTATGCTCTAAACACCTCCACCGTTGCTAATGTTTTGTATTAGTCTGTCTGTCCAGAACTTAAATCTTGAATAAGTTCAATACATCACTACTGAACTTTCACATTGCATATACTGTTATACTTCTTTACATTTTGAATCTCTCTCTCTCTCTCTCTCTCTCTCTCTCTCTCTCTCTCTCTCTTTTCATATCGTCAGTAATTAGGATATATTTTGCGTTTCAGTTCTATAAACTCTTTTCCCCGACTGACTAACCCACTGAGAGACTTTTCCCTCCACGTCCACAGCCCCATTAACTCTACTGGTTCTTCACTACACCCCCAGCATGTACTCCAATTCTTTCTCACTTTCTTTTCGTGATATATTTTATTTTGCATATATTTTATTTTGTATATATCTAGGACTAGCCGTATTGTTTTTCATCAAACTTGGTCATAGAGTGGAACAAACATGTCGATGGTCTGCAAGTCTATGGACTACCCTAATTAACCATAATATACTATACGGACTAGCCGTGTGTCTGTGTAATATACTATAGTAGTGTCTGTTCTGGCAGCCGAAACGGCACAATCGTTTTTCATCAAACTTGGTGGAAAAATCGCAAAAAATTGGTAGAGTGGAACAAACCTGGTCCCATATCGATGGTTTCTTTAGGAAGGCATTAAAAATTAACCATTTTATTTACGCTGGAAAACGATGCAAGTCTACGGACTTGGCGCACCCTCATTCGCTGTATGCTATCAGCCGGACGGCGGTTACACGCTAGCCAAGCACGAGCTTTCAAACTTTCACCGGGCACGAAGGGCCCGCGATCACTTGTGGGATGTATATTTCTCATTTTTTCCCGTTTTCTACAAGCCTGAGGGTGATGTCATATATCAAGGAGAAACTTATAAATTTACAACACTCGTGAAAGACACAATTGAGCACCTGTCACCTCACTACACTTATTTTTCAGCTGGTGACCTTTTTTCTATATATTGACGAGTGTATAAAAAGCAACATATGTTCATAACTCTTTTAATAGAATTAATCTAGAGCGTGAAGCATAGAGGTGGTAGGGGTAGAGAGAAGTGGTTGAGGAGGGGAGGAGGAAGAGGTGCTAGGGAGAGGAAGGGTTGGGGAGGGGAGGTGGAAGAGGGGGTAGAGAGAGAAGGGGGAGAGGAGTGGTTGGGAAGGGGAGGTGGATGAGGAGGAAGAGGTGCTAGGGACAGGAATGGTGAGGAGAGGAGGGTGGGAAGGGGAGGTGAAAGAAGAGAAAAGGGGGTAGAGGAGAGGGAGAAGAAGAGATGGATGAGGAGGAAGATGTAGTAGGGAAAGAAAAGGAAAAAAGATTAAAAAATATACAGACAGATTATTTTTGCAACTTTCATTATATCCACTGTGCTGCCGAGGCTGGAACACAGGACAAGCTCTGACCCTCACCCCCTTCTGTCTAAAGTTACCACCCGACGCTGCTTCATGATTAAGGCGAAATAAACCAAACATTCTTAAACATTATTTTATTTATTTTTTTTGTTTGTTTATAGTAACGGGGTTATTTATGTTCAATAACATTATATAAAATCATAATAGCATACATATGTGATAATGACGTCACTATTTGTAGTACATACCAGTATAATGTCAACTGTTACGTCATCAAACAATGAACATAATGCAAAGTAATCAAAGTTAGGTGAGTTTAGTTTAGACTAGGAATAAAATATACATCATTACTACACTTAAGAGGAGTTCAGTGAGCAAACTTCAGTAGAATAGTAGTGGTAAAATATCGTGGATATATATTTTCATCAAATAATGAGAGTAACAGAATATTTCTAAAATGTAAATGAACTAAATCACTTAATAGGTAATGGCTGAAGCAAAAGGTGTTCTTCAGTGTTCTCAAGTGATACCAAATATATATGAGGCGCCTAGAATGGGAATGGCGTATCTCCAAACCGTCTGTTTTAAGTAAATCCCATTTAAAGTTTAAAGTTTATGTACCATGGAAACTACTGCATGGATTTAAATGAAACTTTCCACAAAAGTTGGACCGTAGAAGGAATGTTGCCTATGGAAAATTGAGCCCCATATGCCAGATCCCTTACCCCCCCCCCCACCGGCCCCCTAAAAATACAAATAAATCAGTAGATATCACCAAATTTTCATGAAACGGTACATTACTTACGAGCTCCTCCAATGGAATTCTCAACCTTGCGGCGGCGTAAGCGACACTCAGTCAGGCTTGATTATGTAGAACAGAGGCCAGTGAACACGCCTGTGGCCATATCTCCAATTCGTGATTTTGGCGCTTACGCCACTCCCATCCCAGGCGCCTCATATACAGTATATAGATTCAGTTGGTATACGTGTGTGTGCGCGCGTGTGTGATTTTTTTTTAAATTTTGCCGCTTACAACGGCTAGTTTTTTGTGCACCCCATACTCCTCCTGTGAGCGGTAGCGCAAAAGGATTACAGAGTATGGTTTACAAAGAGTCAGAATAATTAACCCCCGTGGTCAAGATATTATGACATTGAATGTTACACAGTATTTCAAATACATTATTTGTTTAGTTCTATACATAAAGGGTAACTTATTCACAACTGCGTGAGTACAGGCGTGTGAGGCAGTGTGTCTGGCCTCACACTTTGTTATTCACGTTTGCGTGAGAAGTGATCAAGCAAATTGTGTGTTTGGTTTTATACATGGGAACTAATACAGCTACTAAGTGTAAAAAAATGGATACAATCTTATTATGTCCGCTATCTTGCCATTAGAGATGAAGTGTTGTACCATTAACACACAGTGTGCTTGGACCTGTCCCTAAAAGGTTCTATCTTCACACAGTCGAGGATGTAGTGTTCAAGTGTGTGGCCATATCTCTGGCCACACACTTTACATTTAGTCTTGTTCACATCTGCCTGAGGGGCATACTGCCAGAGGTACTTATATCCTAACCTTAATCTAGCGGTTACAACATCTTGTAATCTAGTGATCTTGTTACTTGCTCCTTTACATGTTTCACTTGATACATCTCATCATGGTAAACTATGGATCGACTAGTGCCTGTTTGCACTTGTCTGCTTGCGTCAAATTCATCAATAAGTTCCTTCCTAATTACAGTTTTAAGGGTTCTTTTTGACAGACCCAGTTTGTATTCAACAGTGTCTTTGTTAGACGCGAGTTTGGCGAGGGCATCTATTCTGTCATGTTTTATGAGGCCTATGTGAGAGGGGATCCACAACAGTTTGACCTTGACACCCCGGTCAACAAGGTACGCATATTTGTGTCTGGCTTCAGAGACAAGCGCGTGACAACTTGAGTTGAGGGTGTCAAGGGCAAGTAGTGAGGATAGAATATCAGTGATGATGAGACTGTCAGTGACAGTGGTTTTAATGAATTTAATAGCCGTGAGTATGGCAGCTGATTCAGTTTGTAGAGTGGATGCCCGGTTGTTAATTCTAACTCCTTTCTCACTGTGTGTGTGTGATACGATTTAGGGATAATTTTGTATTGGCGATAATTTTAGCGTTTTTCTGGTCATTTAGATAAGGATTGGATACTGAACTATTATCATCCAGCCGAGTTTAGGTCCAGCTTTATTATATTAAGACTGATAAACATATCATCAGTTAAACAAAGTCAAGTTTATCATCTTTGGGTTTACTTCCCTTGAGTTATAACAGTATTAATAGAACGTTATCCATGCATCGTAAACATCTCTCTCTCTCTCTCTCTCATGGTTTAAGGTTTACTCGAGGAAGAATAGTGACTGTAAAAGTGAAGGACACAGAAGAAAATAAAGAGAGGAGATAATGAAGTAATATTAACTTAAGGTACAAGTAAAGTACACACACAGACCACACGTCTCTGGGTGGGCTACATTTCATCACTCACTGTATTGGTCGGTCGTGTCACTAAAAATCTCTTTATAAAAATTATGTACAAAAGGACTAAAGTTCCTGAGTTCATCAGTAACCTGACTGTGTTGCTGATAATTCGGTACTCACTGGGATGTATACTCGCTGACTTTTATTGTTTGATACTTTTGTTGATATTATTAAGCTACTTGGATACTAAAGGTGAGTCGTATTGCCAAAGTTTATATTGATGCGTTTGTTTTCACTTATTAACAGGTGTTTTTAGTGGGTCAGACCCATTAAGGTGAGAAGAGGGTGTTGGTGGCACACTCAGAAGCTCCTTTTATTTGCTGTCGTAGGCCGGGTTCTTGAAGGTAGTTTCTGCACCCTTGTATAGCGGGTTTTCTTCCTGCAGTCAGATGGAAAACTAATTAGAACACACGAAAAATTCGAAAAGGTGAATGACACACACACACACCCTCACTGAACACACACACACACACACCCTCACTGAACACACACACACACCCTTACTCAACACACACTCACACACCCTTACTCAACACACACTCACACACCCTTACTCAACACACACTCACACACCCTTACTTAACACACACACACACACACACACACACACACACGCACACACACAAAACATACCGTAGGCCAGACTGTTGCATCTCTCTCCCTCAAGAACTTGGCGTACTCCTGGCGGTCGTGGAAGGAAGTAAGCAACTTCCAGATTAAGAGAGTGAGGATCCCAAGGGCCACGATAGCAGCCACCAGACCGAAGATGATACCTGTTATATTATTGGTCACGATTATACACACGTCAATAACATATCATCATCATCATCGTCATTATCATCATCATCATCGTCACCATCATCGGCATCACTATTATTGTGACGTGACTTCCTCCCCCCCTCCACCCCACCAATTTATCTACAGTAACATTTTATATCTACCGATTTATATAAAAACTGCCAGAGGAAAAAATAAAGTGTTTTGCAAGTTTCTAGTTATTGAATTTGGAATATACGAATTTACACTAAGGTAAGACATCATCGTTTATTTACAACACAAGGGGGGGGGAGGGAGATTGACTACACTGCTTAATGCTTATATAGACAGACACAAACGTACCCATCACGGGCGCGGCCTCTGGGCACTGTCGGTCCTCCTGGACATAAATATCGTATTTTAATTCGTCATCTCTCCTGGCGCCGATGTAGCGGTAAGTAAAGTTGAAGTAGCAACCTTCCTCGTCCTCGAAGGTACACAGTCGAGCACCAAGTTCTACCTGACCTGTGGGAAGAAGGGAATTAATGTAAAGTCACCGAGTTTAACCTGTCCATGTTGGGGTGGTGGTAGGGGGGGGGGATAAGTTCAGGCATTTTAGTTCATAATTATGGAAACGTTCATCCTCACCATGAAACGTTCACCTCTAGATAGGATATGTGAAGCTTGAGTTTATGGATCAGAAAAATGTCTCAGGGTCTCTTCTTGGTTTTCACGGGAGTCAAGTTAGAAAACCTCTATACTAAAGACTTGTAGTTTTCTCCTTCCTCTACTTCACTCTAGCTTCCCACCTCCCTTCCTCCTTCTCTTCCACTTCACCCTAGCTTCCCCCTTCCTTCTTTCCTCCATCTCTTCTACTTCACTCTAGCTTCCCCCTCCCTTTCTCCTCCTCTTCCACCTCACCCTTCGCCTCCCCCCTTCATCATTTTCCTTTTCCACTTCACCCAAGCTTCCCCCCCTCCTCCTCCTCTTCCACCTCACCCTTCGTCTTCCCCCTTCCTTGTCCTCCTCTTCCACCTCACCTTAGCTTCCCCCTCTTCATTTTCCACCTCACCCTCGGTCTCCCCCCCTTCCTCCACCTACCCTTCCACCTCACTTTCCCTTCCCTTCCCTTATACAGTGTTCCACCTTACCGTTCAGGCTCTGGGTAACAGTGGTGGTGACGTTACACTTAGTACACGCCTCTTTGCTCAGGGCGCCCGTCCCGAATTGTATACACTGAACACAATCCTTGAAGCTGAAGCATTTTCCAGATGGGCAGGTCTGGAAGTATATAATTTTTCCTTTTAGTAAGACTGGAAAGTTAGTAGGTCCGGAAACTACTTAAAATGTAACGTAAGTGGTACGTACCGGGAGCTACTTAAAACGTAACTTAAGTGGTACGAACCGGGAGCTACTTAAAAAGTTATTCAAGTGGTACGAACCGGGAGCTACTTAAAAGGTTACTCAAGTGGTAAGTACCGAGAGCTACTTAAGTGGTACGTACCGGGAGCTACTTAAAAGGTTATTCAAGTGGTACGAACCGGGAGCTACTTAAAAGGTTACTCAAGTGGTACGTACCGGGAGCTACTTAAGTGGTACGTACCGGGAGCTACTTAAAAGGTTACTTAAATGGTACATTCCGGGAGCTACTTAAAATGTAACTTAGTGGTACTTACCGGGAGCTACTTAAAATGTAACTTAAGTGGTACATACCGGGAGCTACTTAAAAGGTTACTTAAGTGGTACGTACCGGGAGCTACTTAAAATGTAACTTAAGTGGAAGGTGGGGTTCACTTACTAGACATTCCTCACAGTACTGGCCGGTGTAAGTAGTGTCGCCATCCGGGGTACACTTACACTTGCCACAGGCACACTCACCGTGGCCGGAACACACCATCTGCGAGCCTGGGGACACACCATGACACACCTGCATTAGTTAATTAAGATCTAACGCACCTGTACTCACCTAAAACATCACAAGGGGACTTATTTATACACCCGTACTCAACACATCGCAAAGGGACTCATTTATGCACCTGTACTCATCGAACACATCACAAGGGGACTTATTTCTACACCTGTACTCACCTAACACATCACAAGGGGACTTATTTATACACCTGTACTCACCTAACACATCACAAGGGGACTCATTTTTACACCCGTACTCAACACACCGCAAAGGGACTCATTTATACACCTGTACTTATCGAACACATCACAAGGGAACTCATATTTACACTTGTACTCACCTAACACACCACAAGAGGAACTCATTTGACTCAACACATCACAAAGGGACTCATATTTACACCCGTACTCAACACATCACAAGAAGACTTATTTCTACACCTGTACTCACCTAACACATCACAAGGGGACTCATATTTACACACCTGTACTCACCTAACACATCACAAGGGGGTATACACTCACCAGGTTCTTTGCAGGCAGAGTCGTCCTTACACTCACAAAGCCCGCCTGTGTAGCCCTGTCGACACTTACACGAGTTGCAGTCACAATCGCCATGGCCAGAGCACGTTTCCTTAGGCCCTGAGATGCACTTCCGCTTATCACACTGACAGTATCTCCCGTGCACGTTCTGCGGGGTGTTAATAAAGTGAAACCTCCATATAACGGATTTATCTCTCCATATAACCCGTGAGATGGATTTTTCACATTTAATAGACCCTCGATATAACGGATTTTTCACCGCCTACATAGTTCATTAGAGGAGGTTTCAAATATAACGGACCTCGATATAACGGATTTTTCACCGCCTACATAGTTCATCATGGATTTTCCACTGGTTATATTCCGTTAAATGGAGTTTTTTTTTTTACATCTAACGGACTAGACTATCTAACGTCCGCCCCATAAAGTTCGTTAGTTTGTCTTCCTCACACACACACACACACACACACACACACACACACACACACAATAAGAATTATAGTCACAAACAACTTGAAACCAAAGTCTGAATTCGCGACAATAAGAATGTCTGAATCACAATCACAGCCAGGATCTCGTGCACCTTGAGAATCATATAGTCTGAACCGTAATCAGAATCTCAGCCAATCACAGTCACAGGTTCACCTACATAATAGGAATCACTGACCAGCGAAAATCAGGCACAGTTGGATTCATTGCCATTAAGAATCAGTAGAATACCAAGAATAAATAAACTGTTAATTCTTTTATTTTCGTTTAGGCATAATTATATATGCACTGTTATTGCTTTAGTCATATGTGTGAGGAAGTAAAGGTTGTCAGGTGTGTGTTGACAGTAGTTGTAGTAAAGGTTGTCAGGTATGTGATGGCTCAAAAAACAAATCTTAAAAAAAAAAAAAACGAATAGTTCCTGGGTTCTGTGGTTAGGTTAGGTTAGGTTAGGTTAGGTTAGGTTAGGTTATCAAAATACAAGGATGACCCAAACTAAAATTTTACCAAGGTTACATCAGCATTGAGTCATTTATTTTTTACATTGTAGCTCATAGAGTTACAGTATTATGAGAGGCGTTGATACTCACCACGCTGTCCGTGCACACGCAAGTACCGCAGCTACAGAAGCCCCGACTCGAACACTCCCTCTCATCGACCTTGGCTCTACACAGCTTCTTGTCTTCTTCACTGAGGGAGGGTACAACGAGTGGGTTAGTGTGTGATGGAGTGTGGTGGTGATACAGGGGGTGTGGTGGTGATGATAGAGGGGGTGTGGTGGTGGTGATAGAAAGGGTGTGGTGGTGATGATAGAAGGAGTGTGGTGGTGATGATAGATGTTTGTGGTGGTGATGATAGAGGGAGTGTGGTGGTGATGAGAGGGGTGAGGTGGGTGATGATAGATGTTTGTGGTGTGATGATAGAGGGAGTGTGGTGGTGATGATAGAGGGGTGAGGTGGTGATGATAGATGTTGTGGTGGGGATGATAGAGGGAGTGTGGTGGTGATGAGAGAGGGGTGGTGGTGATGATAGAAGGAGTGGGTGGTGATGATAGAGAGGGTGGGTGGTGAAGATAGAGGGGGTGGTGGTGATGATAGAGAGGGTGTGGTGGTGATGATAGAGAGGGTGTGGTGGTGATGATAGAGAGGGTGTGGTGGTGATGAGAGAGGGTGTGGTGGTGATGATAGAGGGAGGGTGGTGGTGATGATAGAGGGAGTGGTGATGATAGAGAGGGTGTGGTGGATGATAGAGGGGTGGTGGTGATGATAGAGAGGGTGTGGTGGTGATGATAGAGAGGGGTGGTGGTGATGATAGAGGAGGTGGTGGTGATAGAGGGAGTGGTGGTGATGATAGAGAGGGTGGTGGTGAAGATAGAGGGGTGTGGTGGATAGAGAGGGTGTGGTGGTGATGATAGAGAGGGTGTGGGGTGATGATAGAGAGGGTGTGGTGGTGATAGAGGGGAGGTGGTGGTGATGATAGAGGAGTGTGGTGGTGATGATAGAGAGGGTGTGGTGAAGATGATGATGATAGAGGGTGTGGTGGTGATGATAGAGAGGGTGTGTGTGTGGTGATGATAGAGAGGGTGTGGTGGTGATGATAGAGAGGGTGTGGTGGTGATGATAGAGGGAGTGTGGTGGTGATGATAGAGGGAGTGTGGTGGTGATGATAGAGAGGGTGTGGTGGTGAAGATAGAGGGGGTGTGGTGGTGATGATAGAGAGGGTGTGGTGGTGATGATAGAGAGGATGTGGTGTTGATGATGGAGAGATGGTGATGGGGGGAGGTTATACTGTTAGATTATATTTAGCTAGGTGAGGCTAGGCTAGGTTAGGTTAGGTTAGGTTTTGTTATGTTAGGTTAGGTTTGTTAGGTTCGTTTTGTTAGGTTAGGCTAGGCTAGATTGAGTTATATATAAATTTAGATTTGATTGGTAAATTTAGATTAGATTGGGTTAAGATTAGGTTAGGTTAGGTTAGGTTAGGTTAGGTTAGGTTAGGTTAGGTTAGGTTAAGTTAAGATAAGATTCCGTCTCCACTGTACCTGCTGGCAGAAGTGTCACTAATGCTACACTGGCAGTTATCACCCCTGTATCCCTGGTTACAGGAGCACACACCACATATAAGAACGCCATTAGAGTTGCACTTTGGGTCGTTCTGCTTCACAGCCTGGGGAGGGGGGGGGGGGCAGCGTTCAAGCATGATGGTATGTTTGTGAATTCTCAGAAACATATATATTTTGTTTTATTATTTCACGAGTTAGTATAGGTAACACAAGGAATGCCTACCTGGGCCTCACAACTGCAGGAGCATTCGTACTCGATCTCAAGGATGAGGTTGTCTTCTAACGTCTTGACTTCCACGATGGATTTTGTTTCATCCTCCCTGCACTCGTTGGCCTGAAACACAACACAACCCCCTCTTAATATATTTCTCCAGTAATAGAACCTCCTCTTAATTTTGTCCAGTAACAGAATTTCTCCAAGACATCTTTCCAGCAATATTGACCACAATAGCGAACCTTCTTCAGTAACGTCTAGTTCTTTCAGTATCACCGAACGTCTAAAGTTCAAGGACAAACTCGATGGGAATATTTTCCTCTTTTCCTTAGCGTAAGAGAATTAATACTTACCGTAACTTCCAGGGTAAAGCTGACCGTGTCTCCTTCTCTGATTTGCTTACACATTTTGGTGTTGACGGGTGAATCTCCACCCTTGCAGCTGGAGAAGTAGCGGATACTGACCGGGGAATTGGTGCTGTTGTCCGTCAGGCGCAAAACGGAGGAGATTTTCTACAAGGTAACATTGGTCAGTTTGGAGGGATTTTCTTCAAGGTAACATTGGTCAGGTTGGAGGGATTTTCTACGAGGTAACATTGGTCAGCTAGGAGGGTTTTTCTACAAGGTAACATTGGTTAGTTAGGAGGGTTTTTCTTCATGGTTAACATTGGTCAGTTTACAGAGTACGAATAATTATTAAAAAGGTACAATTTAATTACAGAAATGGTCAACTTATTAACTTATGCAGCAAATTACATTTATTAGTCAGCACGTGAAAGTAACACACAAGTAGACTACACAAGAAGGACTCGCCGAACAAATTTTAGGCATGATAGAATACTGTAAAGTTTGAGTAAGCCGTTATGATCAGCTTTGTCAAACTAGTTAAATTGTATTTGTTCATTAATGCTCAGTGATAAAGTATGTCAACACCTCAGCAGTGGTTCGGTCAACAGAGTATCGTGAACCATGTCTTACTTTGTACTGTTCATCCACTAGCCTGACAACATTGGCGGAGTTATTGTCCAGTTTTCCGTAAGAGGACGTTTCGATCAGGCTGGAGAGTTCCCTGTAGAGATTCACGTAATTCGACACAGCGAAGATCACGTTGATGTTATGCTCCTTAGACACCTTATTGATCTGTCCATACACACACATACAAACAGGAGTCAAGTATTAAGGAAGTTAAATATGAAACACGGCAGAAATTGTCATTATCACCCACACATGTGGGGTTTAGCTATCATCACGAAACAGGGAATGTGGGAAAGGCGTTAACTAAAGCCTCTGGTGTCATGTGACATCACAGAGATGCATTGAAGTCATGTATTTTAAAGGTCTTTGTCAATAAGGTACAAATTTTTTTGTAAAATTATATAATTTCATGAGTTGTACTCAAGGCAAAAACAATTCATTAACTCAGGGAAAGCACAGTGCATTGAATTAAAATTTCTACAGTTGACATAAACGATTCCCTCCCACACTCCCCACCGCAGGCACCTCCTTTGGGCTCGTCACTGGTGCCCGCTGGTGACAGCTAGCTGTCAATGCTGCGTACGTGTCGCACCGTTAAAATTACGCTCAGTGCAAAAAAAATATTAGATGAGACTTGCGTAGGTGCTGTGACTCACTGAGACCAAATGTGAAAAGGACCTGGGTGTGCATGTTAACAATGAATTAAAATTCTCAGGCCATTATGAGGAGATGGTGAATTAAGCAACTAAGCTAGTAGGGTTTATAACAAGTGTTCACACAACTAGAAGGTCCGTCCTTCATCACGCTCTTCAGAAGCGAGGTGCTACCCTGTTTAGAGTATTGTCACCCCTTCTGGTCCCCGAGATATGCCCGTAACTGCCAATTGATTGAAAAAATCTAAAAGAGAGCCACCAGATTGGTGCCTGCACTCCCAGAGAGATTAGAAAGCCTGCAGTTTTTTTTTTTTTTTTACTGGGATTAGCCCACCCAAGCACAGGTCACTGACCCACAGCACGGCCTGGGGGGCGAAAATATAATAATAATAGTAATAATAATAATAATACCAACAATAATAATATTAATAGCAATAATAATAATAATTAATAAAAATTATAAAATTATAATGAAAATAAAATATTGATAGTAACCAAGAATAAATACAAAAATAAAAATAAATAAATCAAGAGTAGAAAACGATATACAGTATGTATGTTGTGTTGTCAGTAGTAAGAGAGACAATTGACACCCTGCAACTGTGTGTAAATGAGGCGGAAAGAAAGAGCAGCAACCTGGGACTTTGTCACAATTTTTGTGACGCCATATGGCAGCAGGGTCTACCATTAGACAACACATTATGCTTTCAATATCTTCCCAGGCGGTAGTACCTCCCTGTTTGGTATCTGCCTACTACCTACTAGTTGCCTAGTTTATACGGGTAAGAGGTGACTAATAGGACTCACAGCATTGTCAGAGATAACTTTTTGTAGTGAGTTGTGTTCTGTTAGAATAACCTGTCAGAGACGGCGCCGAGTGTGAGCTCATTTAAGATCAGTCTTGACTAACACTGGCGCAGGTACAGATAACATTTTAGAGCCAGTACTTGCCAACATTGCGTAAACAGAGATGTCACTGACCGCCCAAGTACACCAAACTACTGTGCAGTTTAAGTCAGTTCGGAGACTTATTCCCATGACTCAAGTTTCACCACGGGGAGTCAACTTTTGTCCCCGACTGTACCTATACTTTATTGTCTTGCTTACGTCAATGAATTGGTATTCTGGTTTAACATTAAAGATGATCTACTGATTATCAGCTTAATATACTGTATATGAAAATGTAATCCACATTTTACTTCGTATGCAATCATATGAAAGTTTAATATGCGGCCACACATTTTTGCTGCGTCTGTTGTTAGCGACTGACGCCGTCATTCTGCTGGACTATACTGCAATTGTTGCTACTGCTGTTTACCAAGAACTCAATTATATATCACAAGTGGGAAACTCACCGAACAGGTGCATGTGAAAAATGTCAGCCAGCACTGACAGCAGAGTGCAATGCTCCCGCTAGCAATTTTTTAGTGCATGGAGGTGCACACAAGCACTTGGACTTCTACAGATTTCCTCAAAAGCGAAACAAGAGTGTGAAAATTTCATATAATTTTCACCTCAGTCGTCGCGACCCCTGTGTCACCACTGACCGTCACAGTTTCTCTCGTTAGTTATTGAAAATCGGACTCGCGCTACTCCGCTCTAGTATGTGACTGAAGGAGAGAGGGTGACCCATAGGAACATGTTGATGGTTCCCTGTAGTAAAGGTTACCACTTAATTATATATATAATCAACACCTCAACCCGCCAGGATTCGAACCACGGCCCACGAGCCCAAGACTGTGACTGGGGAACGCTACCTCTGGACCACCAGGATACTAAAGCAGTCCTAGACTCTGTTATATTTCACACAAAGCCTGTTCAACGAGCTTATGGCGCCGTGAACCTCTAATAATACCCGTATCACGTAGGTGGTCAGAGTAACGTTTTACCAAATCCGCTTCGAAACACGAGGATCCATATATATTTCATTAGCCCAATAAACACTTGCTTCGCCAGAGAACTCACGGCCCACGCGGCCGGGTTCGAATCCTGGCGGGTTGAGGTGTTGATTGTACAGAAGTCCGCGTGTTTATTGGGCTAATGAAATATATATATATATATATATATATATATATATATATATATATATATATATATATATATATATATATATATATATATATATATATATATATATATATATATATATATATATATATATATATATATATATATATATATATATATATATATATATATATATATATATATATATATATATACACGCTGAAATGGACGACATGAGTGTGTTCCAATAATACGGGAAACTTGAACAGTCTCCAACAAGACGCAGACTTACCTGGGCAATAGAGGGATAGTCGTACTTGTCGTACTGGTCGTATTCATTCTTGTTGTTCAAGTGGCACTTCTCATCATTGGGCTGCACGATTCCGGCCAACTAGAATATGAAGTGAAATGATTAAAGTTAAGTAACAAAAATATACAATAATTGTAATGGTAATAATAAAATACAACCGAGAATTAATTGTAATACTAATATTACTATGAAATTATTTATTAATAACATTAGGTATGGTATTGAAAATAAGTATATTATGCAACAAAAAGAAGAAATTTGATAATGTTAAAGTGTAGATATAATTAGATTTAGTATTTACTGTAGATGACCTTTGACCCTAAGTTGCCCCGGTATGGTGGTCAAAACCCTTCGTCCGTTATGTCATAGTGTCTCACACAAAATCGTAAAGATACTTTTTGGAGTGGGTTATGTAAATGTTCTCAACTCACTCGTCCGTCGCCCGCCTGGTGAAACTTGGCGTCCGTGGAGAAGATAATAATCCGACGCGCCTGCTCCCTCCAGCCTATTTCCTTACACACCATCGCCTGCATGAGAGCGTCGAAACCGCCTTCTGGTGCATCCAAGTTGCCAGACATGGGCACCTCCTTTACTTTACGCTGTTTGGGTACACACCATGTTAAGTTACAGTTCTCAAGAAGTCTTTATATTCCTGTTGCTGAGAAAGATTTCATTAGGCGATTTATTATTAACATTTACTAATTTTTAAGTGAACTTTTGATTTTTGCATTTTAATTAACTCAATCTGAGGGTGTTTTTTTTAAGGATTCGAACTGGTACTCATATTAACTGCTATTTATGAAGACTCGGACAAATAACCAAGGTTCATTATGAAGCTTAATCCCGCGCCAAACCAAACATTAAAATCATCATCTTTATTGTCATGAATTGAAAAAAAAATTTGCTTTCTTTCTCTTTGTACAAAAACAGCAATGAGATAGAGGCGAGGTAATAATGACAGCAGGTAGAGGTAATAATGGTAGCAGGTAGAGGTAATAATGGTAGCAAGTAGAGGTAATAATGGTAGCAGGTAGAGGTAATAATTACAGCGGGTAGAGGTAATAATGGTAGCAGGTAGAGGTAATAATGACAGCAGGTAGAGGCAATAATGGTAGCAAGTAGAGGTAATAATGGTAGCAGGTAGAGGTAATAATGACAGCAGGTAGAGGTAATAAGGGTAGCAGGTAGAGGTAATAATGACAGCAGGTAGAGGTAATAGAGGTGAGTAGGTAGAGGTAATAATGGTAAAGGTAGAGGTAATAATGGTAGCAGTAGCAGGTAGAGGTAATAATGACAGCAGGTAGGCAATAATGGTAGCAGATAGAGGTAATATGACAGCAAGTAGAGGGAATAATGGTAGCAGGTAGAGGTAATAATGACAGCAGGTAGAGGTAATAATGGTAGCAGGTAGAGGTAATAATGGTAGCAGGTAGAGGTAATAATGACAGCAGGTAGAGGTAATAATGACAGCAAGTAGAGGGAATAATGGTAGCAGGTAGAGGTAATAATGACAGCAGGTAGAGGTAATAATGACAGCAGGTAGAGGTAATAATGACAGCAGGTAGAGGTAATAATGACAGCAAGTAGAGGGAATAATGGTAGCAGGTAGAGGTAATAATAGTAGCAAGTAGATGTAATAATGACAGCAGGTAGAGGTAATAATGGTAGCAGGTAGAGGTAATAATGACAGCAGGTAGAGGTAATAATGGCAGCAAGTAGAGGTAATAATGGTAGCAGGTAGAGGTAATAATGGTAGCAAATAGAGGTAATACTGGTAGCATGTAGAGGTAATAATGGTAGCAAGTAAAGGGAATAATGACAACAGGTGGAGGTCATTTTGACAGCAGGTAGAGGTAATAATGACAGCAGGTAGAGGTAATAATGGTAGCAAGTAGGGGTAATAATGGTAGCAGGTAAAGGTAATAATGGTAGCAAGTAAAGGGAATAATGACAACAGGTGGAGGTCATTTTGACAGCAGGTAGAGGTAATAATGACAGCAGGTAGAGGTAATAGTGGCAGCAGGTAGAGGTAAGAATGGTAGCAAGTAGAGCTAATAATGGTATCAGGTAGAGCTAATAATGGTAGCAAGTAGAGGTAATAATGGCAGCAGGTAGAGCTAATAATGGTAGCAAGTAGAGGTAATAATGGTAGCAAGTAGAGGTAACAATGGTAGCAAGTAGAGGTAATAATGGTATCAGGTAGAGCTAATAATGGTAGCAAGTAGAGGTAATAATGGTAGCAAGTAGAGGTAACAATGGTAGCAAGTAGAGCTAATAATGGTATCAGGTAGAGCTAATAATGGTAGCAAGTAGAGGTAATAATGGCAGCAGGTAGAGCTAATAATGGTAGCAAGTAGAGGTAATAATGGTAGCAAGTAGAGGTAACAATGGTAGCAAGTAGAGGTAATAATGGTATCAGGTAGAGCTAGTAATGGTAGCAAGTAGAGGTAATAATGGCAGCAGGTAGAGCTAATACTGGTAGCAAGTAGAGGTAATAATGGTAGCAAGTAGAGGTAACAATGGTAGCAAGTAGAGGTAATAATGGTAGCAAGTAGAGGTAATAATGGTAGCAAGTAGAGGTAATAATGGTAGCAAGTAGAGGTAATAATGGTAGCAAGTAGAGATAAATGGTAGCAAGTAGAGGTAATAATGACAGTAGGTGGAGGTAATAATGACAGCAGTTGGAGGTAATAATGACAGCAGTTGGAGGTAATAATGACAGCAGTTGGAGGCAATAATGACAGCAGTTGGATGTAATAATGACAGCAGGTGGAGGTAATAATGGTAGAGGTAACTCACTGTAAAAAGTTTGGGGTTTTTGTCTAGAGGGAGGTCGTTCCTGAAGGAGAATGGCGGGGCGCATCCATGACACGGTTTGTCGATTCTGTGGACCGCCACAATATGCGAGTATTTATTACCTTTTGGCTCTTATTGTTCACATGTGGTGAAATTGGCTTGAGTGCCACTTAAGACGTCATTTTCTATTATAACATTGGCCTAACTATATGTAAATTCGAATAGATGAGGTTATATACCTGATCACCCTTATATACAGGTATATATATATATATATATATATATATATATATATATATATATATATATATATATATATATATATATATATATATATATATATGTATGTGTGTGTGTGTGTGTGTGTTGACCTCGCAGTCATTCCTATTTGATGTGATACACACACACACACACACACACACACACACACACACACACACAGAGTAGACTGGAATTATATTGGAAAATCCTGCTACACATTCTGTTAGCAGTGATAATGAACAGAACTTTATACAGTACTCAAAATTGGAGTCGAGCCTTGGTCTCGTTTCTACTTGGCGAGCATAGATGCTACCTTAAAGAGTTGATATAATGGCAATCATCTTCGCCTTTCACAAAGGGAGGTCAGGGTTCGATCTCAGCCTTGACATACTGCACAGCCATACACACAACACAAAACCCCTCACTACTTACTTATTGGGTGCAGTGTCAGCATACGGCATCATGACCTTATCGACAAAGGATCCAAAGCCCAGCTGGTATTGTTTGGTGAGTTGACTCAACAGTGTCGCCAACTCATCCCCGAGTTCTCCCAGCTTTTGCTTGTCGTCGTTCATGGAGTTAGACAAGTCCATCAGGTAGTAGAGGTCAATCGGGTAGTCTCGAGCTTGTCTGTAGGTCAGGGTGACGTTGATTGGCGTACCTGTGAGGAAGAGCCAGTATGGTTTGAAGTTCATTTGTGTCGTCTGTTGTTTGAGGTGTACTTGTGTCTGCAGTGCCATGATTTATGCCTCCCCCAGTGGTATGATTTATGCCTTTACCCTCCCACAGTGCTATGATTTATGCCTTTACCTTCCCCAGTACTATGATTTATGCCTTAACCTTCCCCCAGTGGTATGATTTATGCCTTTACCCTCCCCAGTACTATGATTTATGCCTTAACCTTCCCCAGTGCCACTTTCTCATGACCCGTAATGACATGTTATTGGTGGATGATATACAAGGCATCAGGTGATAAGTATTAACTAAGATACGTTTGAGGTTAAAGGGGTTTTGTCTCAATGATTTCATTTTTTCTGTTATGCTGTTTATATAAGGTCATATAAGCATGGTCATTTTATATTATTATTTTCTTACTGGAACTAATTATATGGGTGTTTTTTTAAGGTTATATAAAAAGAGCCGCTTATGTTTTTTGGTTAATATATGGTGTTGTATATATTTATTTTGTCCCCTCCTCTCGTACCTAAATCTAAAACTACCTACGTAAAAAACTCTACCGAGAATTTATCCCCACAAAATAGGTGAGGTGTTTATTATGGAACACCCCCCCCGAAAAAAAACATGACGTGTTACTGTTGTGTGAGTATGGATGGGGGAAGGTATTCAGATTGGGTTATTTTTGGTTGCTAGGTTAGGTAAGGACAAATGTGACTTTTTCCAGTGAATTCGTTTCCTCTAATCGATACAACGATCGCTAACTATGCCCCACTCATTCCCCCCCCACCTCCCTACCCAGCGTCACCTTTGTAGGGCCTGAATTATGACTGAACATCCCTCCCTCCCCCCAACCAGGCGTCACCAAGGAGCTGCTCTCTCTCTCTCTAGTCCTACTGTTGATTCACCTTTTCGTAGTTTGAGCTTAATTCTCTGGGGTGTAATCTGGATAATGTTCTCTTCGTCTTCTGCAGTCGTCCTCTTGCCCGTTTCTGGAACACAGTGGGAAATATAGTCGACTTGAAGAGGAATTTATTGTTAATATAATATCTTGGATTCCTTAAAGTTGATTGGGTGAGCTGTGACAATTTGTACAAGGGTAATTAGCATAAATGTAATGTCTCTGATTCTGAAGCTGTTTTGGGAAAGCTGTGAGATGTCTTTTAAGGGAAATTAACGTTTATTCAATTGCTCTGAGAGGGTTTTTATGATAATTAATTTAAGTGAGGTAGTTAAAAAAAATAGTTTAATGGCACTGATATAATGTGTGAGAGATCATGTGAACAAACCCCGTGGCCATACCTTTTAACAAGGAGGAACACACTGCTAGACACCCATCACCAAGGAGATCCTCTTCCACATACACAACTCATCACCGGTAAGACTGAGAACTACAATGGACGTCTGCCTGGCCTCGGGTATAGAGGTGCCACTGTCACCCTATAACCCCGAAACAGTGAAAAACACCCAGAGGCCCCGTGTCGTCTCCTTCCTCCTACTACCCGACTGATCTCTTGAAAAACCTCATTAAAAATCATTTGGCGAGTTGTCTGGAGTTGAATTAAATAATGAGAGACAGTTGAGGTTTACGAAAAGCATGTCTACCATAGTAAACGGTTGCCAGCGCCATCTCATTCCCCGTGATATTTAATAAATCTTATGGTGGTAGAAATAAAAAATTAGGCCTCGTTTCCAACACCTAAAAGCCACTGTGTCATTTTCTAGAATCTAATAATCTAGACCGTAGGAGTGGGAGAAAACTTTCTACTCGTCTACACAATGACATCTTAACTCGATCATACAAGAATATGTGTATTGTATATAATATTACACCTACGTATTCAACTCCTCCTTCACCTCCCCAGCTTCCTCACTGTTATGTTTTCCTCTTCACTCAACACAAAAATTTATCAACAAGGATGGAAAACAAAGATGTCGTCTATGAAGTTGATATACTCCAATAACAGCACACCGAGGAGAGTCAAGTCCACAAACCAGAAAGGAAATCGAGAAAAAAAACGGGAAATCCAAACATTCCCCAAAGACTGGACAAACAACAATACCCCGAGGGAATACAAAAGCTGAGGTGCCCTTCTGAATCTGAACATGTCCTCTTCGGGTTTTCGAAAAGAGACCTTAATAAACTCTAATGGTTCAAGGCTCTAATAGTTAAGCCAATACAACTTCACCTGGTAAATTCCCATTATACCGATGGTAACCCACCCAACACCACAAAGACAGACCTCAGAGTATGCCCAATAAACCAGTAGATCCACATCTTGGTAAAAATAGTGTGGTAAAAACAAAAGAAGTATGATACAAGATCTATTACAAACGCTCTCCAGAAGACGACTGTGACCAAAAGGATCTCCACCACCACCAATCTACACAAACAAACAAGACAGGTGACAACTTCCCTGCACCAAAAACCGTCAACAAGAGATGCGGAATAGAGTACCGGGGCTCATACTCACCAGTCAGTTGGTTCTGGACGACGATGTTCATGAAGTTGGTGGGGTTTTCGAGGTTCTCTTCGTCGCAAAATTCGGTGACGTTGGTGCTAATGTGTCGGCAGAAAATCTGGTGTTCAATCTTGGTTGGTACCATCTGTGTGTGTGTGTGGCGTTATTAGTAGTTGTGGTAGAGGTGGTTATAGTAGGAATAGTAGTTTTTTATTCTATATATGAGTTGTAGTTGTGGTAATTGTAATAGTCGTAATATTTTCTTAACATTATTATTAATTGTGAGAATAACAAGGTATTAATTATTATTATTATTATTATTATTATTATTATTATTATTATTATTATTATTATTATTATCATTATTATTATTATTATTATTAAAATCCTTATTCAAATTTATCGTTTTTTATATAACACGGGATACAGATGCATACAACTTAACAAGACATCTGTAAATAACTAATGCAAGTGTAATTCCCTGACCAATGGACATAAGACAGCTGCTCTCCTTCCACCTAACTATTCCTTCTACACCTCTTGTTTACAAAGAGAAATCCACTTCCTATGTGTACAGTCCCCCTCACTAGTACGTTTACAGGGACTCGTTATATACAGTAAATATTCCAGAAATCATTACGTTGAGATATTTTTTATATTATTTTAATTTGATTCCATAGTATGCTTACTATTGCCAGTTTCCTTCTGTCGAATGTAACCAAACACAGCTCTGCCACACTGCACAACACCTGACGAGCCCCTGTAAACGCACTAATGAAGGGGATTGTACATGTTGGGTCACCATAACCATTCACGAAATAAAAAAATTTTTTACGGGGACTAGCCCACCCTGGCACTGGTCATCGACCAACAACAGGGCCTAGGGGGCGAAAAAATAAAAGTAAAAAGAAATTAAAAATAGAGAAGAAAAAGGTTATACTGTGCTAATCGACACCACGAAGATGCCAGAAAACTAGCTTTTTAAAGTGAGACAGATTGTATGAGTATGGAAACACAGAAGAAGGCAGAGCATTCCACAGTTTGGCTGTGTGAGGAATGAAGGATGTACTATAACGGGTTATTCAAGTGTGACCGACATACACAGAGAAACGGTGGGCACCGCGGGCAAGACGAGTGTTACCAGCCCACGGCCTTGCCGGCGGTACACAGGATGCTAAATCCACCGAACATTGCTCGTTAAAGTACCTGTAAAAGAGAGAGAGTGAAGCAACATTGCGGCGAAGAGAAAGGGAAGAAAGATTATCAACCAAAGGAGGAGAGTTAATAAGACGAAATGCCTTTGATTCCACCCTATCTAACAGTTGGACAGAAGAAGAGCCACTCCAGACATGAGAGCAGTACTCCAAGTTAGGACGAATGAATCCCTTATATACTTGAAGCAACTGCTCGGGAGTGAAGTAGCTACGGCATCTGTACAGCATTCCCATCTTTTGGGAGGCAGCTTTAGTAATGTTGAGGATGTGTGGCTTCCCTGACATATTAGAGGAAATGGTGAGGCCTAGCATATCTATTATAGAATTTGGCAGAATGATTGTGTCCTGAAATGTGATTCGTGAGAGATCATCTAATTTGGAAAGTGTGATTGGTAAATACCGAGTTTTATTACTATTGAATTTCACCTAGTTTCTACCTCCCCATTCGGAGATGCTGCACAAATCCGCATTGAGAGATGTAATGATATCAGCTCTAGAAACAGATCTAGTTTGAGAATTAGGGGGAAGGGAAAAATGTGAAGAAAAGTAAAGAGTAGAATGGATAGAATTAGTCGTAGTGTGAAGTAAATCATTAATAAAAAAGAAGGAAGAGAGTAGGTGAAAGAACAGAACCCTGTGGGACACCACTATGGTAGAGAAAGAGCGAGAGATCGATCCCTCGACAACAACTGCCATGGATCGGTTCTCAAGGAAGCTAGAAATTAGAGAAAGTGGGGGAGAAAAACCATAAGAGGGAAGTTTGGAAAGCAAAGACTTGTGCCATACCCTGTCGAATGCTTCGGAGATGTCGAGAGCCATGACGAAAGTTTCCCCATAATCCCTAAGAGAGGATGACCAAAGGTGGTTGCAATAGGAGAGCAGATCACCAGTAGATCTCGCCTGGCTAAAGCCATACTGGTGATCCGACAAAATTGAATGGCGTTCAGGGTGACGGAGAAAATGAAAGTTCAAGATAGTTTCGACAATCTTAGAGAGGGATAGGTAGAGGGATTGGAATGGTAACCCTTCTTCGGGATGGGCTGAACCTAGGCATGCTTCCAAGAAGAAGGAAACGTTTGGGTTTTGAGGCAAAGGCGAAAGAGGCGAGCAAGCACAAGCACCAGAGCTTCAGCACACCCCCTCAGAACTCGAGGGGGTTTTCCGTCCGGCCCATGCGTCTTACTCACATTCAACCTGGATAAAACTATTTGACCTCTACTGTAACAGGATGAGAAGCTTATGAAGTTGTGAATTATTTCTTCATCTGTGGTAGCTTAGGTTAGGTTAGGTGGGTTATGACCTCGAATATTACATACATTCGTTAACCTGACCTCACATGACCTGATATCCACATGATCAAACACCCACATGATCAAACACCCACATGATCTAACCCCCACATGATCTAACCCCCACATGATCTAACCCCCACATGATCTAACCCCCACATGATCTAACCCCCATGATCTAACCCCACATGATCTAACCCCCACAACCCCCACATGATCCTAACCCCACATGATCTAACCCCCATGATCTAACCCCAAATGACCTGACCCTCACATGACCTGGCCCCCCTAACCCCCATGACCTAACCCCACATGATAACCTCCACATGATCTAACCCCCACATGACCTGACCCCTCCCCTCCCACACAGACACACCGCATGATCTGACCTTGGGATTAGTGCACCACATACAGTCGGGTGTCTGGATACAGTCTTTGCAGTTCCTCTTTGAATGGCAGCTGTCTACTCTCTCTTGTGCCGCCGCCATCACCACCACCACCACCACCATCATCACCACTGCACTCCACCGCCCCATCTCTCTCTTCACGACTTCTGGAATATCATTAATGGCACTTCAAGTAACACATCTGTAACCTATATTAGTATGCAACATAGTAGAAATATATAAACATTATCAACTTCATTTACAACATTCTCCATATAAGTGATTTAATTGCTTAAGTAATTTATATTGGTGATTTCATTGCACGTATGTAACTTAAGAGTTTACTATCTTTTAAGTTACATATATGATTACAGCTAATAAGTCTATATAAGTAATCATTTGTTTGTAGTTCAATAAAATTCATCAATATTGTCAATATATCACTAAGTATTTTGCTGCCACACTACTTCAGTACTAAGGTGTGGTAGAGAGAGTGTGTGTAATAATAATAATAATAATAATAACGGTTTATTGAAAAAGTTCTGCAGCCCGAAGGCTGAAAATATACATTGGACATAAATGACTTATTACATACATTGGTGGTTTAACAAAAGCCTTCATTAGAGAAAGGTAAAGGAACATACAGTGAACATACAGATTAATGTAGGATTGTACGTGTTGAACAGCAAATACGTAGTGTAGTAACTCCCTCCCAGATGGTGTTAGGAGGGACCTCACGTGGTGTAGTAATTCCCTCACAGATGGTGTTATGGGGGACCTCACGTGGTGTAATTACCTCACAGATGGTGTTATGAGGGTCCTCACGTGGTGTAGTAATTCCCTCACAGATGGTGTTATTAGGGACCTGACGTGGTGTGGTAATTCCCTCACAGATGGTGTTATGAGGGGGCCTCACGTGGTGTAGTAATTCTTTCACAGATGGTGTTATGAGGGTCCTCACATGGTGTAGTAATTCCCTCACAGATGGTGTGATGAGGGACTTGACGTGGTGTAGCAATTCCCTCACATATGGTGTTATGAGGGACATGTGGTGTAGTAATTCCCTCACAGATGGTGTTATATGAGTGAGGTTTGGTCCCAGGCCTTCCTATCGTAGACGGATTAACACATCGCTGGTTATCACGGGCCGTTATCACTGGGTACCTGGGACCTCACTGTGTGAAGGTTAACTTGGGTACGACTGTTACTGTTGAGTTGTTCTCACTGACTTAAGCACTGTTCACCACTGTTCACCTCTGTTTAACACTGGTTCCATTCCTTTCCTAAATGAAATTGTAACTTCTGGCGAGAACTTGTTGATATTCCGGTGGGGAGGAGGGTTCAGGGGAAGGGGTTGGTATGGGCCAACTTAACAGTTGACCTGGCTGCTCCGAGAGGAGCGCCAGGTACGTCTTGACCCTTCGGTGGTCAAGGATGTAGTGTGTGTGTGTGTGTGTGTGTGTGTGTGTGTGTGTGTGTGTGTGGACATTTCATCAGATAATACACATCCCTCGTATAATCTAAAATATCAAGTGTCGACATTTGAACCTCACACGAACAATTTCATCAGATAATACACATCCCTCGTATAATCTAAAATATCAAGTGTCGACATTTGAACCTCACACGAACAAAACATCCTCTCCCAGGTCAGAAAAGGCGAATATTGCGTTAATTTAAACCCAGTAAACCACAACAAAACTGAGATCGTTAAATTGAACCGAGCCAGAAATAAAAATAAATTAGGCATGTTAAATTGAAACCGAGAAAAAAAATATATCACAAAATGAGTAGAATAATATATATATATATATATATATATATATATATATATATATATATATATATAGAGAGAGAGAGATAAGTAAAAAAATCACAAAATAGGAGAACAAAAAAATCACAAATTATGAGAAAAAATTCACAAATTCTGAGAAAAATCACAAAATATGAATAAAAAATACAAAATATGAGTAAAAAATCATAAATATGAGTGAAAAGAAAATCACAAAATAGGAGTAAAAGAAAATCACAAAATGTGAGTAGAAAAAATCACAAAATATGATTAAAAAAATCACAACATATAATACTGCATAATTATCCCTCTGAGCGGATGAGACAAGATGGGTTATATATTTTATCAAGTTACTCATGAGTTTTTAGTATGATAAGTGGACGATAGTGGGGGTTATTTATGTCACGGAAATCATTAGACTCACAGTCAGAATATAGGTATATTATCTTGACAGTGGTTTGAGTTCAACTAAAATGGTGACGGTCTCGTATTATTTTGCTATATTTTTGTTACTTGTATTAATTTGCCGTGTTACCTTGCGTGCAGAGTGTAGGGAAAAATCACGGGAAGAAAAGTCACAGTTGGAATGTCCTAACCTAACTCAACTTAACCTAACCTAAATTAATCTAACCGTAACCTAGCTTAACCTTTCTTTAACCTAATCTAAATTAACTTTAGCCTAACCTTAACCTAACTTCAATCTATCCCAAGCTAACCTAATCCTAAACTAACCTAACTTTTACCTAACCTTAGCCTAACTTTACCTGAAACTGTCTTTACCCCTTAAACTAACCTAACCTAACCTAAACTACACATGATTTTTAAGGACCTTCAGTCTTTATGTTAAGTTAGGGGCCCTCAGTCTTTATGTTAAGTTAGCAGCTCTTCAGTCTTTGTTGTCAGTTGTAGGGCTCAAGACACACCTTACTTGACATCGAGGCTGAGGGCTCCTAACTTAACTTAAAGATTGAAGGTCCTTAAAAATCATGTGTAGTTTAGGTTAGGTTAGGTTAGGTTAGGTTAGGCCAGTTTGGGAGGGGGGGGGGGCACTTTTAACTTAACAAAGGGAGCGTACATTATGAGTTTAGGAGCAGCAGCGGAAACAGCGATAACAGAGGCACAAGACGATACCATGTTCAGTGTGTTTGTTCGTCAGGTCAGATCCGGTAAACCACAGTTGCTCTCTCTCTCTCTCTCTCTCTCTCTCTCTCTCTCTCTCTCTCAATGTAAATCTTTCCTATCGTATTGTTACATTGATACATACTTTCTTATGTAAATGAGTATAACACACACACACACACACACACACACACACACACACACACACACACACACACACACACACACACACACACACACACACTCTCACACACTCCACTCACACTCTAAGCGTAACATCTTCGCTCTCGATTTCTCGTATGTGACAAAATATCCGTTTCCTGAAGTTATTCCACGTAAGTCACACACACACACACACACACACACACACACACACACACACACACACACACACACACACACACACACACACACATCTACACTCACACGTACATCCACACACACACATATCTACACTCACACGTACACTCTCACATATCTACACTCACACGTACACACACACACACACACACACACACACATACACATCTACACTCACACGTACACACACACACACACTGACGTCAACCCACAATCACCCTTAGCGGAAACTGAAGTGTTGACACAGTATTTGAAGGATGAAGGTAGGATTCAATGTCTCCAAAACTCACACCGATTGGACCTTTGATTTACGAGGATCCTTAGAGGTGTCTGAATCCCTTAAAATGGGATCAAAAGACGAAACAGAGTCTAGGGGAGTTTATTTACTCCCAAAAAATATATATATAATGATTTGGATACAGAGGTGCATTAAGAGCTATGCGGTGACGTAATTATCTAAGTGGTGGTGGTAGCTTTTTGCTAGATACGGTAGAAATGTACGTAAGACCTACTTAACATCGTCATTATAAGTAGTATAAAAGTATAAGTATATTCATGATGCCACACTGTCATGAAATTTATATTATACACAGCAGACATGGACAACCCGCAGCTCGAACCATGTTTTGTGCGGCCCGCAGAGTGATTGAGAAATTCTATTTAATGTGGCCTGCGGTTCAGGTAGATGCAGCCAGTTTATGGTGAGTAAAGCAATGTCCTTAAAAGAATAATCTTCACAGACAATTCATTGCTGTTTCATCACCTAAGAGTAAGTAACTACAAAAATGTAACTGTGAAATAAGTATAAATAGTCAACAATATAAACATTTTAACTTGTTTGAGTTTACGGTCCAAGTTCGGTTCGGTCTGTTTGATGGATTAGCTGCATTGTGGCACTGGGTCACTTAACCGGTGGTCACACGCATGGAGGGTCCTGGGGGTTCGGACCCTCTCTTTTCATCAAAAAAATGCAATGCTCTTTCTTTAATACATTATTGTACTCACGGATTATCTTGTATAGTAAAAAGTAATTACTAATGTCCTCAGAATATCTCCTATTATCAAGTGCACATGGCTTCAAAATGACCTCAAAATTCTCATGATATTAGTCAGACTTGAAAAAATCTTCAGGGGGGGGGGGGGCTTATACCCCCAAAAAACTCAGCTGGGTGGCCTCGCTTTGTTCGCCATGTTCCCCCCACCCAAAGTTTCTTGATTCTGTGATATCCCTGGATTCAACCATGACACGGGTCAAAGGTAAAGGTCTCTTTCTGATTGACAAACTCTCTCTCTCTCTCTCTCCACAGTACCTCATCCTTCATGCCTGTAAAATAAATAGATGTTCCTATAGGTTGTTTCATTATAGTTCCTCACGCATCAAGATTAACATTAACATTATTCTGGTGGGTGCGTCTCATAAGTAAGGAAAATTCTGTAACTGTAGGAAAAATCAACGTATTCACAGACTGTTTCACTCATGTTCTGTTAAATGCCAAGAAACATTAAAATTTTACTTAAAAAATTATTTCGATTGATTTCTTTCATAAATGGGAAAAAAGACTGAAATTGTAAGCTGAAAATAACGTAAGGTGAACGTGACGATAAACTGTTCCACTGTCCGTGCTATTACAATATTAACATTACTTTTGGGTTAGGTAGGATATAAATTTTGGTGGGATGGCCCGCAGAAAAATACCTAAACCGTAATGCGGCCCATGACTGAGGAAAGGTTGCCCATGCCTGTTATACAGAGTCATTTGAAGAAGTATGTCTAGATGTTTTTAAGTGGTTCGTTATTGTATTTAGATGAGTCTTTGTGTTTGGTACTTTATCATGGTGGTTTATCATGGTGAGTGGCGTTGTTATTGAGACGAGGGGCTATATAAGGTCTCTAATGGTGTGATCTTTGGGCTGTATTGGGGTTTAAAGACGGGGTGTAGAGTCTTTAATTTGGTGGTCTTCAACTTGATACAATGTTCTTGTTAGTTTACCGCAGGTGTTGCAAAGGCTTTAAGAGGTGAGTAACCATGTGTTGCAAAGGCTTTAAGAGGTAATTAACCAGGTGTTGCAAAGGCTTTAAGAGGTGAGTAACCATGTGTTGCAAAGGCTTTAAGAGGGAAGTAACCAGGTGTTGCAAAGGCTTTAAAAGGTGAGTAACCATGTGTTGCAAAGGCTTTAAGAGGTGAGTAACCAGGTGTTGCAAAGGCTTTAAGAGGTGAGTAACCATGTGTTGCAAAGGCTTTAAGAGGTAAGTAACCAGGTGTTGCAAAGGCTTTAAGAGGTGATGAGTAAACATGTGTTCAAAAGGCTTTTATATATAAATATAATTTTACCAGGTTCTAAATTGTCCAGGGGTTGTATTTTCCCCAGGGGTTCTAACTTCCCCAGGGATTCTATCTTCCTCAGGGGTTCTAACTGCCCCAGGGGTTCTAATTTCCCCAGGAGTTCTAACTTCCACAGGGGTTTTAACCTCACCGGGGGGTTCGAACTTCCCCAGGGGGTTCGAACTTCCCCAGGGGGTTCGAACTTCCCCAGGGGGGTTCTATCTTTCCCAGGGGAGTTCTAGCCTCCCCAGGGGGGCTCTAACCTCCCCAGGGGGTTCTTACCTCCCCAGGGGGTTCTATCTTTCCCAGGGGGTTCTAGCCTCCCCAGGGGGGCTCTAACCTCCCCAGGGGGTTCTTACCTCCCCAGGGGGTTCTATCTTTCCCAGGGGGGTTCTAGCCTCCCCAGGGGGCTCTAACCTCCCCAGGGGGGCTCTAACCTCCCCAGGGGGGCTCTAACCTCCCCAGGGGGTTCGACCTACTCCCAAAAATGAAAAACGTAATATTAATTGTATCATTTCACATATAAATGGATGAGTGTGTTGTCACTGCTGTTAGATAGGGAGCTTTAACTCTGTAGACTGATCCATAGAAATATTGATACATGCAGTTGCGAGATCACCTGAAGATTAGCCACTCCAGCTTATTTTACATGAAGATTCACCACCCTAGCGCTATCTAGGGGGGGATTAGGAACTGTCAGGTTAAATTCTGTTAGGTTGAATTAGATTACTTTAAGTTATGTTAGGTTAGGTTAAGTTATATTAGATTAATTTGTTAGGTTAGGTTTTGTTAGATTAGATTAGGTTAGCGTTTAATCATCAGGTGAAATTAACTGATATGTCTAATGTTCAGAATCCTTGTGAACATACTAGTCGTATTAGTCCCTTTATAAACACCTCTGTTTCGTGGTGCAGTCGACCTAATAAGTTCACAGAGTAAGGTAACCGATCTCGTAATTATGTAAGGGTGAGGGAGAGGGGAGGCCTATGGGTTCCACTTTCATACGTGTTGGGTCTCTGCGAACTTATTTGACCGACTGTACGAGGAAGCTTCCCATGATAGTATTGTGCGCGCCTTGCTGTTATTGTTATAAGAATGATTCATACTGTCCAAACTATACAGGGATTACCTGAAGATTAGACACCCCAGCGTCTTGCTTCTGAAGATTAACTCCCCTAATGCTCATCTAATCTAGCCTAACAACCTAACCTAACTTAGCCTAACCTAACCTAACAATCTAACCTAGACTAACTTAACCACCAACAGATAGCGTTTGGGTGGCTATGGTTAATATCCTGAGAAATAAACTGTGATGTTTAGTCTTTAGGTGATCCCAATGATGTTATCACGTCAATCAGAAGCTTAATTGCTAAAGAAAACGAAGTAAATATACAAGAAAAATAACGTAACTATAAAAAAAAATCATTATCTCACACGCAAACCTTCACTTAACTGTTCGTTCAATGTCTCTCGCTACTGATTCAGATCCACCTTACAAAATTAATTTGCTCGTGCTTCCGATTAGGGAGGCGGTGATATGCTTAGTCGGCGCCTGACAGTTACAGGAACGTAAACGCTGTACGGCTCCCAGGGGAACGTGATCGACTTTATACTAGCCGCCCAAGTATAAAAGGTGACTCAGATCATGACATTCTTCCCAAGATACACTTATGCATTCTAGATTATTGCTCTACTGGACACTGAAGGTTGTAATAAAATAGCAAAGAATAGACCAACCTCCCGAACGGCTAGTAAGCTGCTAAGAAGTAGGAATCATAGATTAATAACAGCAGCGGTGGATGAACAGCGTGAATCAGAAGTTTGTTCCTGTACAGATAAACGCCACTCCTACAGTACTTGTGACGTATTATATTATCTACAGTGTATTAAGGGAACAGTGGCATGGTCTCAAGCTCACCTTATATGTGGGTACCAACATGGCAACATAACTGAATACTGCACTATAAAATGACTTTCCCTTTCCATTCTCGCGCCTGCATGACAAGCTATTCGACAAACACCGAAAAATGACCTGAGCCGGGTGTGTCAACTGCTTGTGTTGCAACATAAACCATTTATGATTGATGGGAAACAAAACCAACTGCAGTTTAACCTAACTCAATAATGTTAAGTCAAGTTTGGTGTGATCTGTACCTACCGGATGCGGCGCTTCACTGCGCATGTGCATTAAGGACAAATCTGCCCCGTATGTGTAACCCAAGTTTTTTCACACAGGATGTGACATCAGGCTTTCTAGCACAAGCATATTGAGAGCCTGACCCAAGTGTTAGCCACCGCCTCCTTGTTTATCATCGGTAAAATGTTTGGTGTGATTTCTTATAAGGTAGACGGGTACAATCACGGATTCCCCTCCTCGTACTTTTGATTACTTGCACTCAAAGGTTTGCTTATGAGATGCTTACGTGAGTAGTAGAGACTTAGGAGGATTACCGCGGCAACGTGCCTCTCTCTCTCTCTCACACACAACTGAAACGGATCAGAATTTATATAAAGCAGCGTTTAGATTATACAAACTTCACAGGTACTGGAGTATCCAATTAACTTTCTTTTTCCCTTTCTGTACAAGTAACACCAGGTGTAACTCTTGCTGTTCATGTAGATGGCGTCGCATCTATTCATTGAACTTTTATGTGATGTAATATTACGAGGTGGCACTGCCTGGTGTCCTTTTTAGCAGTCGCTATGAATTACCGAATTTTTTTTTTAAGTTCCAGATCATATAATTTGCGAATAGAATATCGCATTACTTGTCTGTGTTTTCTATTTGTTCTATTTATTTATATATTGGTCCCTTGCCTTTGAAAAATAAAACACCATGTTGGGAATACATATGTCTAAGGCAAGCTATTAAAGAGGCACTTATAGTTATTATCTGTGGTGATCCAGGTGGCACATATACGAGTCCGCATCTTGGCGGATATTCCGCCGGTGTGCTGTTGTTTATGAATTGGTTTCGATTCTGAAATGGTAAATAAAAGGTGAGGGAAGAGTAGAATTTAATTGGTGTGTGGCCGCTAGCGAATGGGAATACGACATACACGCGCAAGTTTTCTGTTGCCACACCCTAATGACGCTGCTTTCTCCAGTTATATTTCTCATGTAATATAAATTCTAATTAAAGCCAATAACAATTACCGTGATGGGAAGTACAGCACATATATACTCCCTAATAATTTTCAGGTTATTTTAAGTATTTTCAAACTATACTTTTTCATTTTACTGTATTCAATTTTTCTTGTATCGCAGCGGTGTTGTATTCCTTCGTGGTGGTGATGGAGAAAAGAATTATTTTAAGAACGAAAACAGTTTTGATACAACAGTACACTAAAATATCATCAATGCTACACCTATAATGTATAAAGTGATAAGTAAACTTACCCGTGTATTAGAGGGAGTGTGAGGAAAGCCTCAGCCGCGCGTCACCACCGTACACACAACTCCTCCAGACTAACCTCACCAAGCTTTATCTGGCCTCCACAGTCACACGGGTTTCCTGTCCTGTCAACACTCGCGCGGCCCAGTCACATAACAACTCACATTTTGTATAAATTTATCACTGCTAGTTATAGATAAATTGTTCCGTAGCTGCATATTGAAACAAAACTGCGTACCGTTGTTGTTATAAAAGAACTAGTTACAGGCTGCCTGCGATAAAATTCATTTCCGGCAACAAGTTTGTTTTTCAAGTGTGAACATTACACAAAATGTGGTTTTTTTTTCTCGAGGACGGACAGGACACAAGAGATGTTTTGTGATATATCTCACGACCTCCACTGACTGGCTTATCGCCTGAAAGCGTCCGTGTGAGCTGCTGGTATATATGGGTTCGTCTTTTTTTTTACTATAATAAAATAAGTACTGTACATCCAAGACATGTACAGATATACTATGCCGATAAGAATTTATAGTTATATAGACCACGCATATATTTTATCTGATCTGAAGGAGTTGCTCAAACGAGCATGCAGAGCCCATTGGAATCGACATGTTCAACGGAAGCGACTGGAAAATTGTCATATGTGAGTCACCTTTACGCGAACAATTAATGCCTAGTGAGTTAGACTAACGTAGTGTTTAAAGTACAGTACTAGAGAACATTATATGAGAGGTGATTTTTTTTACGGGATTAGCCCACCCGGCACAGGTTATATTGGCCTACATCGTGGCATGGCGGGCGAAAATGTAATAATTATAATAATAATAATTAGTTCATAGTAAATAAAATTTATATTACATGCAAAAATAAAAATTAAATAATAATAATAATAATAATAATAATAATAATAATAATAATAATAATAACAATAATAACAAAGAACAACAAAGAAATACAAAAATTAAAACTGATCAGTAGTGAGAAACGATATATGTATGTTGTGTTGTCAAAGTAATAGAAACAATTGAAACCCTGCAATTGTGTGTAAATAGGGCAGAAAGTCAAATCAGTAATCTGGGACTTGGTCACAATTTTTGCCACGCCATATGGCAGCAGGGTCTACCATTAGACAACACATTATGATTCCAATATCTTCCCAATTGGTAGTACTATAGCGTACTTTACTCTGGGGGTCACCAATTGTAGCGTGCTGTACTACGGGGGTCACCAATTGTAGCGTGCTGTACTCTCGGGTTCACAAATTGTAGCGTGCTGTACTCTGGGGGTCACCAATTGTAGCGTACTGTATGTGGCCAGTTGTCAAGTTTCTCTATGTTTGTCTATTTCTCTTTGATAGGCTCACATACATACGTACATGTAAGAGATCTCACACTCAGGATGGAGGTAAGAAGTGAAGCTCACAATAGCGTTCTCTGTATATAAATATATTGTAAGCACAGTGCGGTGCTAGGGAGTTGCTGTGTTGAGGAGCTTGCTGAGAGGTCTTGTTGGTTGAGGAGCTTGTTGAGAGGTCTTGTTGGTTTGAGAGCGTTGGGTAGAATGATGCCCACTATGGGTGGGTGAAGTAAAGTATGAAGAGATTTTGATGCTGGCGCATAGATTGGTGATGCTGGAACTGGACTTGAAGAATGATGAGGGAATTTGCGGGGACTTGAGGTAGGTGGATAGTGCAAGAAGAAAGGCCAGGAAATTGGAAAGTATTAGTAGAAGCTCAACCCAAGTGCTTCTGTTTTCTCATGTTTGTGTTTCAGTTAATTTTCGTCTTAGTTGTTATATTTATGTCAGGTGTTTGTATGCCTTACATCTTCGGGTCTTGTGTCTAGAAAATGGTGAGGAGTCTAGGGCAGGTACTTGTGTTTCTGCTAAGAACATCCCGTCTTTTTATAATCTAATGTTGTAAGTGGGAGGGGCTACCAAGGTTGTCACTGGGGCAACGTTGCATCTTTCAATAGAGTGGAGTTGGTGTGGGTTCTAGGGCTCTTTTTTACTGCGAGGGAACCACGAGTGTTCTCTTCTTCCTTCTTCTATCTCTTCCATCCATTCTGTGATTGATCTTGTCTCTATTTCTTCTAACTTTGTCCATATTCTTTTTTAGTGTTGGTGTAGGTAAACGTTTAGGGGTTCTATTTGCGCTCGTTAGTGTAGTTGACGGTTGGTGACTTTGTCACATTATCTGATGTTGTATACATCCCTAAGGGCTAAGTTTTGAATTGTCTGCAGTTTCTTTGTTTGTTTCTTTTATTGCATGTAGGGGAATTGGTGGATATACTAGTCGGGATTGGACATAGGCTCTATATAACTTTAAATTGTATTTTGCTGACAGGTTTCTGAAGCGTTTACATTTAATTACCATGTTTCTGCTGCCGTTAATCACATGTAAGGCAATTGTTCCCATTTTTCGTTTCCCCCGCACTGCTGCCGTTAATCACATGTAAGGCAATTGTTGCCATTTTTCATTTTCGCCCCACGGCCGCCGTTAATCACATGTAAGGCAATTGTTGCCATTTTTCATTTTCGCCCCACGGCCGCCGTTAATCACATGTAAGGCAATTGTTGCCATTTTTCGTTTGTACCCCAATGCTGCCGTTAATCACATGTAAGGCAATTGTTCCCATTTTTCATTTTCGCCCCACGGCCGCCGTTAATCACATAAGGCAATAAAAGACAATTGTTCCATTTTCATTTTTTAATCACATGTAAGGCAATTGTTCCCATTTTTCTTTCCCCCGCACTCCTGTCGTTAATCACATGTAAGGCAATTGTTCCCATTTTTCCTTTTCGCCCCACGGCCGCCGTTAATCACATGTAAGGCAATTGTTGCCATTTTTCGTTTTCGCCAAACTGCTGCCCTTAATCACATGTAAGGCAATTGTTGCCATTTTTCGTTTTCCCTCTTCTGTTGCCGTTAATCACATGTAAGGTAATTGTTGCCATTTTTCGCTTTCGCCCCCACTCCTGTCGTTAATCACATGTAAGGCAATTGTTGCCATTTTTCTTTGTCGCCACTCTACTGCTGTTAATCTTTCGTGAGGCGATTGTTGCCATTTTTCGTTTTCACCTCTCTGCTGCCATTAATCACATGTAAGGCAATTGTTGCCATTTTTCGTTTGTGCCCCAATGCTGCCGTTAATCACATGTAAGGCAATTGTTGCCATTTTTCGTTTTCGCCAAACTGCTCCCGTTAATCACATGTAAGGCAATTGTTGCCATTTATCGTTTTCGCCACACTGCTGCCGTTAATCACAAGTAAGGCAATTGTTGCCATTTTTTGTTTTCCCCCCACTGCTGCCGTTAATCACATGCAAGGCAATTGTTGCCATTTTTCGTTTTCACCAAACTGCTCCCGTTAATCACATGTAAGGCAATTGTTGCCATTTATCGTTTTCGCCACACTGCTGCCGTTAATCACAAGTAAGGCAATTGTTGCCAATTTTCGTTTTCGCTTCTCTGCTGCCGTTAATCACATATAAGGCAATTGTTGCCATTTTTCGTTTTCGCCAAACTGCTGCCCTTAATCACATGTAAAGCAATTGTTGCCATTTTTTGTTTTCCCCCCACTGCTGCCGTTAATCACATGTAAGGCAATTGTTGCCTTTTTTCGTTTTTGCCACACTGCTGCCGTGAACCACATGTAAGGCAAGTGTTGTGATTTTTCGTTTTCGCCCCACTGGTGCCATTAATCACATATAAGGCAATTGTTGCCTGTTTTTGTTTTCGTCCCTCTGCTGCCGTTAATCGCATATAAAGCAATTGTTGCCATTTTTCTTTTTCGCCACTCTGCTGCAGTTAATCTTTCGCGTGACGATTGTTTGCCATTTTTCGTTTTTGCCATACTGCTGCCGTTAATCACATGTAAGGCAATTGTTGCCATTTTTCGTTTTTGCCACACTGCTACCATTAATCACATGTAAGGCAATTGTTGTCATTTTTCGTTTTCGCCACACTGCTGCCGTTAATCACACGTAAGGCAATTGTTGCCATTTTTCGTTTTCGGCCCCACTGGTGCCGTTAATCACATGTAAGGCAATTGATGCCATTTTTCGTTTTCGCCACACTGCTGCCGTTAATCACATGTAAGGCAATTGTTGCCATTTTTTGTTTTCGCCCCACTGCTACCATTAATCACATATAAGGCAATTTTTGCCATTTTTTGTTTTCGTCCCTCTGCTGCCATTAATCACATTATAAGGCAATTGCTGCCATTTTTGTTTTCGCGTCACTGCTGCCATTAATCACATATAAGGCAATTGTTGCCATTTTTTGTTTTCGCGCTACTGCTGCCATTAATCACATATAAGGCAATTGTTGCCATTTTTTGTTTTCGCCCCACTGCTACCATTAATCACATATACGGCAATTTTTGCCATGTTTTGTTTTCGTCCCTCTGCTGCCATTAATCACATATAAGGCAATTGTTGCCATTTTTCGTTTTCGACACACTGCTGCCATTAATCACATGTAAGGCAATTGTTGCCATTTTTTGTTTTCGCCCCACTGCTGCCATTAATCACATATAAGGCAATTGTTGCCTTTTTTTGTTTTCGTCCCTCTGCTGCCGTTAATCGCATATATGGCAATTGTTGCCATTTTTTGTTTTCGCCCCACTGCTGCCATTAATCACATATAAGGCAATTGTTGCCATTTTTTGTTTTCGCTCTACTGCTGCCATTAATCACATATAAGGCAATTGTTGCCATTTTTGTTTTCGTCTCAATGCTACCATTAATCACATATATAATTTTTGCCATGTTTTGTTTCGTCCCTCTGCTGCCATTAATCACATATAAGGCAATTGTTGCCATTTTTGTTTTCGCCCTCTGCTGCTTTTCGTTATTAATCACATATAAGGCAATTGTTGCCATTTTTTGTTTTCGCCCCACTGCTGCCATTAATCACATATAAGGCAATTGTTGCCATTTATTGCTTTCGCCCCACTGCTGCCATTAATCACATATGAGGCAATTGTTGCCATTTTTTGTTTTCGCCCCACTGCTGCCATTAATCACATATATGGTAATTGTTGCCATTTTTCGTTTTCGTCCCTCTGTTGCCGGTAATCGCATATAAGGCAATTGTTGCCATTTTTTGTTTTCGCACCACTACTGCCACTAATCACATATAAGGCAATTGTTGCCATTTTTTGTTTCCGTCCCACTGCTACCATTAATCACATATAAGGCAATTGTTGCCATTTTTTATTGTCGCCCCTCTGCTGCCATTATTCACATATAAGGCAATTGTTGCCATTTTTTATTGTCGCCCTTCTACAAGCATTAATCACATATGAGGCAATTGTTGCCATTTTTGTTTACGCCCTCTGCTGCCATTAATCACATATAAGGCAATTGTTGCCATTTTTGTTTTCGCCCCTCTGCTGCCATTAACTCACATTTAAGGCAATTGTTGCCATTTTTTGTTTTCGTCCCACTGCTACCATTAATCACATATAAGGCAATTGTTGCCATTTTTATTGTCGCCCCACTGCTGCCTTTAATCACATATAAGGCAATTGTTGCCATTTTTTATTGTCGCCCCTCTGCTGCCATTAATCACATATAAGGCAATTGTTGCCATTTTTTATTGTCGCCCCTCTGCTGCCATTAATCACAAATAAGGCAATTGTTGCCTTTTTTTGTTTTCGCCACTCTGCTGCCATTAATCACATATAAGGCAGTTGTTGCCATTTTTTGTTTTCGCCCCTCTGCTGCCATTAATCACATATAAGGCAATTGTTGCCATTTTTTGTTTTCGCCCCACTGCTGCCATTAATCACATATAAGGCAATTGCTGCCATTTTTTATTGTCGCCCCTCTGCTGCCATTAATCACAAATAACGCAATTGTTGCCATTTATTGTTTTCGCCCCTCTGCTGCCATTAATCACATATAAGGCAATTGTTGCCATTTTTTGTTTTTGCCCCTCTCCTGCCATTAATCACATATAAGGCAAATGTTGCCATTTTTTGTTTTCGCCCCTCTGCTGCCATTAATCACATATAAGGCAATTGTTGCCATTTTTTGTTTTCGCCCCACTGCTGCCATTAATCACATATAAGGCAATTGCTGCCATTTTTTATTGTAGCCCTTCTGCTGCCATTTTTTATTGTCCTGAGTTTGGATGCGATCGTGACTGTAAATCCGAGGCCCACATCTCCTGTATTTGCAAGCGTGAACTGAAGATTCCTGTGATCGAACTGGCATTTGTCAAAGCACAGAGAGAGAAGACTGGCAGTATAGCGGCTCTCATGATTTCTAGCCAAGATATTCCGGAGTCCAAGAGACAGGAGGCTGCCACAGAGAGACAGAAGAGGAGAAGAGTTGCCGAGGAAAAGAGACTTGAGAAGGCGCAGGGTGAGGTAAAAAAGGCCGATGATTGGAGTCAAGCTGATTCAGAGTTTAATGACTTCCCCATGGCTGATCCGAGTGCTGACCAGAGAATGGTGACTTTGTCTAACCCAGAAAATAATGATCCCAAACCTTCCAGGCATAAGATTCGAAATAGGAAAGATATCCTGAGCATAGCTCTGGCCAGCATGCGACACCACACTGGTCTCAGAGAAACTGCAGAGATAGCAACAGCTGCCTGGATTGACGGTGGTTTGATAACACCTGATGATGTTCACCTGGTGATAGATCATAACAAAGTAAGGAGAGCTCAGGAGAAACTTGTCAGTAACCTAGAAGAGGAGTTTGATAAGGGAATAAGAGAAAATGGAATCAATTGTTTGTTCTTTGATGGGAGAAGGGATGACACTAAAGAAATCATGAAAGTTGAGATTCTGGATAAGTTGTTCCCTGCCAGCGGTGAAGGAGGAACACTACTCCTGCTGCAGGAACCAGGAGGAAGTATTTGTGGCATTTCACTCCAGAGAAAGATGACATCAGGAAAACCAGCTGGAGATAGTGGCAGATAACATTGTGAACTGGCTCAGAGAGGAACGTAGACCAGACCCTGCAGGCCATTGGAGGGGACAGCACCAACACGAACACAGGGTGGCAAGGGGGGGGTCATACAGTGGATAGAGCGGAAGATTGGGAGGAAGCTGGTTTGGATTGTTTGTGACCTCCACACCAACGAGTTGCCACTCAGACATCTGATCCAGGAGCTGGATGGCAAGACTCTTTCAAACAACAGATGGTCTGGTCCTCTTGGCAAGATGCTGGACTCTGCCACTGAGTTAGAAATAAATCCGAGCTTTGAAAAAATCACAGTTGGCCCTCCACTCGTTGAGCTTGGACATACTGTCATTGACGACCTGAGTACTGACCAGTACTATGGTTACATGATTTGCAGTGCCATCAAAACTGGGGTCATGCCTGATAGACTTGCTTACCTGCAGATAGGTCCGGTCTCACATTCTAGGTGGCTCACAACGGCTCTCAGGTTCTGCAGAATTTGGGTCGCTCATCATAAACTGAAAGGGAACCAGCTTCACAACCTGAGACTTATTGTCCAATTCATCGTGAGTGTCTACTTGCCAAATTGGTTCAACACCAAGGTCAAGTCATCGTTCTCCGAAGGTCTGAGGCATGTTCTCTTCCAGCTTGAGCCCTGAGGAGTCAGCCAAGGAAGGTTGTTCAGATTGTGGAGCAGACTGTGAGGAGATCTTCCTGGTATGCTCATCCCGAGTCACTTCTGCAGACAATGCTCTGCAGTAAGGATGAGGAGGAGAGAAGAGTGGCAGTCAAAAAGATCTTGGATATGAGACTTATGAGAGGATCTGGGCATGACGAATCAGTTGGTGACGATTCCTTCAGGGTCAGGAAGACTCCTGAAGTCAATCTAGGTGCCAAGACCCTCACTGATCTCATAGATCTGGATAACATCCAGGCTGGCAGTGAGCCCTCTTACCTGCAGCCTCACCAATGTCAAGTCAGAGCTTTCCTGGACAACCCCATGCATGTCCCTGCCTGGCCCTCGCACACCCAGAGTATAGAGCGTTGTGTACAGCAAGTGAGCGAGGCCAGCAGTCACGTGTACAGCCAGGAGAGGAGGGAAGGCTACATCCGAGCTCAGGTGGTCAGCAGGGAGGTGATGAGTAGAAACAGAAGCAAGAAAGACATGTTCTCTATGGTGTGCAGCAACACCGGGTCGTAGTAGTAAAACCGGTTTTTGTATGTGATGATTTTGTTTTCTAAAGGAATATTAAATTTAATAAATGTGTCAAGATCACTCGTTTCACTATTCTGGATCATTTTCATCCTAATAAATTAACCTGATACATTTACTTTACTTTAAATAAGCTATTTAGTGGTGTTGGTAAAAGGGTGGGAATACTGAATTTTCATAAGATTTCAAGGTAAAATTTACCTAGCAAAAAGTTAAAATTTACCTAGCAAAAAATGAAAACTTTCAAATCTGAAGATATGACATGATTCTGCACATAGAACTACATCATTAATACCATGGGCCGATTTTTCAAACTCAAAAAAAAAAATTCGCCTTCGTATGACACCCTACTAGATATAGCAAAATCTTAAAGAAAAAAAATATTCATATCAATCTGTAGGCTTTAACAACGGAGGTCCTTAAAGTGCGTAACATGGTTAGTAGTAATACTGCATACCAGTCCAACAACAATAAAAATAGAAAGAGGCTTGATTACCAGTTGGTAATTCCCACATACACATGACATGAAGAAAAAATGAAAATATGCAGTCAAGATGATGCCTTCAAGAACATAGGTTTTTTTTTTTCATGGTTAGTACGACTCTACATATAAAGCCTAAATTCAAAATCCATTCAATTTGACATATAGTTAGGATGCAATACTATCTATTAAAGTTTAATTGTATGTCGTCATTAGAAAATATTCTTTGATGTTTTTTTATTTGTTTAACAAATTTATTGGCAGAGCTTGTAGTACAGTTTGCCTATTCCGAGCAATTCAGTCAGGTCTTGACACTGAGGGTGGTATCACTTCTCACTGTCACGCAGGACAGAGGTTCACACACAAAGAAATACATCATATTCATTAACAACTATAAATGTATAGAGGTCAGATTCATATGGATAATGTCACTGTTCACTGCCATGCAGGACAGAGGTTCGTACACAAAGAGTTGCATCATATTCATTGACAGTACATATACATATATGTAAACACACACACACACATATACATACATATACGTATATACATACACATATACATGTACACGTACATATACATGCACACACGCACACATACATACATATACGTCGGTCAGATTCATGTGGGTAATGTCACTTTTCACTGCCATGCAGGACAGAGGTTCGTACACAAAGAGTTGCATCATATTCATTGACAGTACATATACATATATGTAAACACACACACACACATATACATACATATACGTATATACATACACATATACATGTACACGTACATATACATGCACACACGCACACATACATACATATACGTCGGTCAGATTCATGTGGGTAATGCCACTGTTCACTGCCATGCAGGACAGAGGTTCGTACACAAAGAAGGAAATACATCACATTCACCAGCAGCATACATGGGTCAGTGGATCACATACATTGGAGTCATATTCTAATTGAAGACTAATCAGTGTGGGCTAGCAAATTTGGGATAAACAGCAAGAATGTCCTCAAGCACACCTGATTCAATGAAGTAATTACATAGTTCAAGATACAGTAAGTCAGGTGGCCTGAAGTCTTTGACAGTGTCACATTCAATAATATAGTGTTCAAGTGTATGCTTTAAAGGTTTATCACAAAGTTTACATGCTGAGTGTTCCGGTATGGGTACAGCGTTACTAACTTGCCAGATGTGTCTGTATCCTAGCCTAATTCTGGCCACGACTACATCACATTGTCTGGTTCTGTCCTTATGCTGGCCATACCGGTACCTCTTGTTACAAAATTTGTCATATTTATTTTTTGATGGTCGCGTAGACTAGCGCTGCTTGGTAGTACTGTACTCAAATCACCAACCTTACGGATTGTTCACTGTTTTATAGATAATTTTTTTTTTCACTATTAATCGCAGAATAATAATTAAATATTTGTACAATAATTTATAATAGCATGTAGTAATGGATATATTTGGGGGAAGGTGAGATTAAGGATTCTTAGTAGTAAGAGGAAATAGGCCGTGGTTGGCTACCCTTGACGCCCCTCGCCCGTAAACAAACCACAGTAAGCTAGGAGACGTCTGACAAGTGTAGCTTCTGTGGAACGAGGCTAGTGGTGGTGGTTTGTACGTAAAACTTGCGTGACACTCCACATAACATAATGAAGATTTGCGGAAGAATAGTTCCTTTACTCTTAATAACAGGTATGGTCGTAGCTATGTTCATAATATATTGCCAGAGGTAAGTTTTAGTTAAAGGTCAGCCTAAACAATGCGTAATAATTAACCTAGTATGAAGATGGTTCATGCTCATTTTTTGATTAGCTTGCCTTATATTTTATGTAAAATGTAAATGTCATATTATGTGTGTTATTATGGTTGGTTAATAATGGCTTGTTTCTGTTGTATAGACTTAGCCCATATGAAGTTTAACTTTTGGGTAATAACTCACTACACTCAAACGATAGGGTAATTTTTCGTTAACCACCCATCACCTTTTTTAACATGAAAAATATATTTTTTCGATATATTTATTTTTTTATTTTTTATTTTATTTTTTTGGCTGTTTTAGACTTTATATTAGTGCACACAACTTTCCTATCCCAAATCTATTATTTTATTCGAATAAAACGTCTAATTTTAAGATAAATTTCTTCTATTACATTTCCGTTGCAAACGTATAATAGCGGAGATAGCGCATGCCAGATATTTCTCTCTTTTCTTCCATTAATCTTCCGCCATTATCGCTTACCAGACCGTGGAAGGATGTTTAATACTTTCAATGAGTTTTGCACCTAAAACATGTTACAGTATTTTGACTAGTAAGTATTGAAGAGGTACAGTAGTAACTTGGTAATTATCCTGCAGACATTTCAAGCAATTTAGGCATAATTAACCAAACTTTTAATGCAGTTTTTCATGCTGAACACAGTGATGGTATCAGATTTTTTTGGATTTGGTGATGATGAAAGTTTTTAGGGAAAGGCATAATTATTGAGTAATGACCCTTTTTACCCTGTCAATTTTCACCCCATCAAATGTGGTCAGTGCATTAAAGCAGAGGAAAAATTATCAAAACATAATTAAAAGAACCTTATTTAACCTAATTGGTCATTGTACTGTACTCACCTACTGGGTGACTGTTCCACAAATGCAGGTACAGGACAGGGTACTGGTACAGTATGCAATATAGTCTTGTAACCCGACACCAGCATATAGTACAGGTAATTGATTTAGGCAAATATGTTGGTATTTGTAGAATATTCGCCCAAAACTGGAGGAATTGGAAATTTCTTACTTTTCTTTTTCCATGTCTTTTATTAGTACCTGTAGTAAGTACAACACGGGCAGGCACCAACATCATGTGTGTGCTTTTATTGATAAATGCTTTCAAGTGAATGGCAGTGACCTTTTTCTACCTTACTTAAACAAACCTGGCTAAACTCACATAAATTAACCTACCTAGCCAAAACTACCTAACCTAACATGAATTAATCTACCAACATAAAATACCCGGTAATATATTGTACTGTACAGTCGGCCCTTAACATTCGCGGGGGTTAGGTAACAGAGATACCCGTGAATGTTAGAAATCCGTGTACTATTGCTGCCCCCCCCCCCCTAAAAAATCCCTGGCCCCCCCATGTCCTTATTTATCGTATATACCTGTGTGTAGTTCGAGTTTTTAAGACCAAATTATTTGGCAAAAATTGGGGGTCGACCTCTAAACGGGTAATTGTTGCGTTAGGTTGAAAAATATTTACCAGTAACTACCAGTAAACAATGGAAACGATGCACCAACACACCACCAGCTGTGAGTGTCGGTACAGTTGCCAGGGCAGATCTCTTGCGAGCCCAAAGTAGCCAAATCCATGGTATGGTAGCACAGGACAATGTAAAACAAAGTATTCATTTATTAAAGTTAATTTATAGATACTGGACATAAATTTTTGTTCATTACATTTGAAACATCAATCTTTGTTAATTAAATTTGAAACAAGAGAAAACTACGATACTGGACTTTCATTAAAATATTACATCACAAGTATATTTTACCTTAACTGTGACTGAATGAATATATTCTCGGAAATAAATATGGAAATGTAATATTTTTGCTGGAATGACGTACATATTATAGTGGGAAGTGGGATAAAATCATGACGAAGGACTTTCGCTTTCTTTCGTTGTTCAAAATATTTTACCGTAATCGCTTTTCAAATGGTTTTCAGTTAAAAAACTGTTGTACTCGTACTGTATTACAATAATATTCTATCCTATCATTAGCCTTATAATCCCACAACTGAAAACCATTCGAAAAGCGATTACGGTAACATCTTTTGAACGAAAGAAAGAGAAAGTCATTGCTTTCGTCACAATTTTATCCCACTTTCCACTGTAATACGTACATCATTTCAGCAAAAATATTACATTTCCATGTTCTCAGAAATAAATGGTAGTTTTGTTGAAACGTAATGTACAGTATTTAATATTAAAATGCAAAAATAGCTATAAAAACAATTAATACACCCGTAATGTACTGGCTGGCATCTCCACTCGTCCCTGCTCCCGCGTCCAAGGTCACCACTCCTCCCAACTCGCTCCCTCCTCCACCTCCTCACCGTCACTACTGCCGACAACAAACACAAATGTTTTGTGAATAACTGCACCTCCACTTCCTATGTACAGTACTGAACTGTACTGTGCTGTGCATTTTTACAAACAATAAACATGGCAAGAAAAGCTATTAAAAAAAAAGAGATAAAAATTTCACTTTACTGTACAGTACCTATCCTCGGCAACAGGACGGGGGTCATCGGGCTCATCGTCACTCAATTCCATAACGGGTGGTGAAGTGGGGGCGACGGTGGATTCAGCTGCTTCCTCACTGCCGCCAGTGATTGATGGTGTTAAATCTCTCCTTCGGTGATCAAAGAACATGGTGATGGGGAGTTGTCGTCTCTTTCTTTCATTTCTTCCATGATGTTTTTGTATGGAGCAAAAACGTCATCCATCCCTCGCATGAATTTCAGGGCACGCACCATGGAGGGGTCCATACTATAGGCCAGGTTTTTCAGTGCCTCAATATTCCTGGTCATCTCCCCCAACTTCTCCAACGTTATTTCTTGGTGCTCTTCCTCATCCTCTTTCCCTTTCGCTTCCTCTTCCTCTTCCTTGCCTGAGTCTACTAACTCCTGTAGATCCTCCTCGGTCAGCTCAGTGTCGTGCTCTTCAATTAGCTCCCTAATCTCGTCCTCTGCCATGTCCTGGAAGCCTTCAGCAGCCACTTTCCTTGACAGTGCCAGGGTCTTTCTGAATATTTTCATTAAAATCCATCAAAATCATTTTCCTTGTCATCGTCTTAAGCACCAAACAGCTCCTCCCAGTCTTCTCCTTGAACAGGGCTAGAGGGTACGTGTTTTTCGAATCGTTTTCAATTAAAAAAATGTTACAGCACATGTATATTTTACCTAAACTGTGCCTGAATGAATATATTCTCAGAAATAAATAGTAGTTTTGCTGAAACGTGATGTATTTCAATGTAAAATAGGATAAAATACATGACGAAAACAAAAGACTTTACCTAACCTTCCAATGTTCAAGAGATGTTACTCGTTTTTTTAATAGTTTTCGGTTAAAATACTGTTATATTACAATGATATTATATTCATACTGTGCTTGATATACTACATTCACAGAAATGAAATATTTTTGCTGAAATGACGTAAGTATTACAGTGGAATGTGGGACAAAATCGTGACGAAAACAATGACTTTCGCTTTCTTTCGTTCAAAAGATGTTACCGTATCGCTTTTCGAATGGTTTTCAGTTAAAAAACTGTTGCATCACAAGTGAATTAGGATAGAATATTATTGTAATACAACAGTTTTTTAACTGAAAACCATTCGAAAAGCGATTACGGTAACATCTTTTGAGCGAAAGAAAGCGAGTCATTGCTTTCGTCACTTTCCACTGTAATACGTACGTCATTTCAGCAAAATATTACATTTCCATATTCTCAGAAATAAATAGTACTTTTGCTGAAATGTGATGTATTTCAATGTAAATTAGGATAAAATACATGACGAAAACAAGAGACTTTACCTAACCTTCCGATGTTCAAGAGATGTTACTCGTTTTTTTAGTAGTTTTCGGTTAAAATACTCTTATATTAGTGATATTCTATTCATACTGTGCTTGATATAATACATTCACGGAAATGTAATATTTTTGCAACTACAATGCTGATGTCAACACAAGTGTGGTTACAGCGAGACTGACTGAGTGAGGAAGAGCTATGCGTGTGTGTGTGAGGTTGCGGGAGCGGGCGATGTCCCGTGTTCGGTGCCGCGCGCGATTTGAATGTACTTCAATTACTTCAATGTACAGAATATTCCTCTGGCGGGGTAATCCGCGTATTTGCGAATCCATGAATGCTAAACCCGCGTATGTGAAGGGCCGACTGTACTGTACTTCCATCCAAGCATAGAAAGGTAGGCAGGTTTAGTTGGTTCATCTTATCTTATAACAAATTGCTTTATGTTAGTAAATCAAGATGACATTGCAGGAAGTAAGCATGCTGACATCTATTATGTTCAGTATACTGTAGTATATTAAAAAATAAAAAAAAGGAAATTGCAAAGGAGCACATCCTTTGTGATAACCGGGGTACAGTATTTCTGTATACAGTGGTCCCTCGGTTAACGAACACAATTCATTCCAGAAGGTCGTTCGTTAACCAAAAATTTTGTTAACCGAAACCATTGTTTCAATGGGATTTTGGGTAATTGGTTCTAGCTCACCGAAAATTACATACAAAGTAAAAATAAATGCAGTAAAGTACACTTTCTTTGAGGTGTGTATGTAGAAGGCTCCTGGTTGATGAAGATGATGATGGGTGAGTCAAGTGGCTGATTGGCGCACCAAAAACTAGTTTCCTGTACTGCAATTATGTTAAATAAGTGTTAAAATTACTAAAAAATTTAATATAAAACTTGGAAAATTATTGAATAGTACAACCTTCTTGATATTTACTCAAATGGGAACGAATTTAAGCCGTAGAACCGATTACTGTATTGGTGGACTAATATTCCAGCTGGTGAGCAAGCGAAAACATGTTGACATGATTTCGTAAAAATTTCGTTAACTGAAATTTCGTTAACCGAGGGATCACTGTATTATTTATACTACATAAGATGAACCAACCT